GGGGGCATATATAGTTCTTCTGTTTATAAAAGACAGAAATGACAAAATATACAAGTAAATATTTAACGTTGCTTTAAAGAGGATATTACTGACTAATTTAGTTTCTTATCTGAATGTTAGATTGTCCCGAGATCCGTGTACTATTTGTGGGTGTACTATATATATATATATATATATATAGTAAGATCTCATATGATTAGTATCAAGGATTCAAATGATCTCAAAGATGTCATCTTTAACTCTATTCTCCTAAGAAATTATATTTAAATAAAACATAAGGAAAGTCAAGTACAATTCTTTGTTAAAATAATATATATATATGCTATTACTTAAATAATAATAATAATAATAATCAAAATTTTAAAGCACCATAAAAATACTATTTTAAATTAGCACTTCATTAAAAATTAAATTGGTTAAAATGACACTCCTTACCTTATATGATTTTTTTTAGGTAGGATCGATCATGATGATGTTGTTATGATCATAACTTTCACAAACACTAGATGTTATGATTAGCATAATTGTAGATGCTTGTTTAGTTTAGAATATGATATGGTTAGAATTTTTCAATATGTGACCATTGCAATGCATATAGTTAGTGTTGTGTGCACTAAAATTTAGAGGAACATGCAATTTTCTATATGGGTAAGTCAATAGGGGAGGGGGATATAAATAAATAAGTTATATAAGTAATTGTGCATGCCAATTACATGAAGCATGATAAATTTATTATACAAATGAATACTGAACTCCATTTAGAACCTCTAATTTATAATTTTTGCTAATCTTATAATGTAGTTCTTATGTGTAGCTAGAAAGAGTCTGTATTGAAGCAAGGGTCAGCATGTGTTCGAGTGAATAGGAACAAAACATGTAAGGGCTAGGACTAGGATTATGCAACCTTATGTTTCATTCCTTAAGTGGTGCATAAGTATGCTATATTGGCTATGGTTGATTTTAATCTGGAGACACTAAGATTTATCATAGATTGGGACTTTATATAGAAAAAAAATTGAAGAAGAGAGGATGAGAGGCTTAATAGAAAACTCTTATATTTCATCTTCTTCTCTTTCTTGTCTAAGTTTCACATTATACACAATAATATGGCACAACCTTATCATGGTACACAAAATTATGAAATAATTTGAATTTACCCCTTATATCTATAGAATGAGTAGAAAGGCTTTCTCTATGTTATAATGTGAGTCTAAAGTCCCTAAGGTAACATGACAAATCCCTTGACTCACAATGGGTTAAAGATTAGATTTAGTTTAGGTTACACTATTATCTTCAAGACTTTGTAAAGGCAAATACTCAAATCTCCACATGATGAATATTAGATAATTTGGCTCTCTCTCCAATAGAGATTCATCTATCCCTAGCCCTTTTATGTTTAATTTTATGTATTCAAAACATCTTCTAGAGGAATTTATAGAATTATTAATTTCTCAATTTTCAACTATACATTTTTAGAAAGGAACAAAAAATACAACTTTCTCTTAATCTAAATCCTAATCATGTCTTCTTTTATATCAACATAAACTTTATCCTTTTTCTTTAAGTGTCAAGCATAAATACGAACATCCAAGCTTAATGACCTTCTACATTGCCAACATACACTTCCAACAAACTATATAAAATACAAAAGAATAAATACTTGCATACATATTCATATCAACCTTTTCTTATAACATAAGTAACAACCATCAATAAGTAAATCAGATGGTGACTCAGTAGTTGGACATTTTCTTCCGCACCAAAAGGTCTCATGCTCATAGTTAACCGCCGAGCAACAACCACCAAAATCAGTTAGAACAAGATGGCAATCCAACCTTAGCCAACTTCTCCAAAACTTCCTCCATCTCCTCCATCTCCTCCTCCTCCACCACCCCTCTTCTTCCCCTCCCCCTCACAATTTTCATCCTCTCCAACAACACCTCCACCTCCTCCCTCACCCTCTCATTCTCCTCCTTCACCTCCCTCAACCTCCTCTTTGCCATCTTGCACTCATCCAACACCTTCAAAAACTTTTCAGACAACTCCCTATTCCTCTCCTTCATTTCCATTAATCCACCATCAATCCCAGCTTGCCTCCAATCATTCAACTTCTCAGTCAACTTATTATTATAAGCTCTCAAGTCACTCACAAGCTCCTCCATATCATGGACCTCCTGCACTTTGCGAGCCAACTCAGTGGCAATCATCTCTTTCTCTTGGCCGAGTGAGGAGAACATTCTTTCAAGGCTTCTGCGTGCGGTTAAGCTCGCCGAGAGCTCGCAGCGCAACTTCTGGTTCTCGTCGGCGGAGGTGGTAAACGG